CGGTATGGACCGGTAGACCGGTATGGACCGGTAGACCGGTATGGACCAGTAGACCGGTAGACCGGTATGGACCGGTAGACCGGTATGGACCGGTAGACCGGCCGGTCCGGTATACCGGCCGGTCCGGTCCGGTCTACCTTTCTCTAGACCCACACCGGTACCGGTCTGAAAAAAAGTGGACCGGTTCCATCTCTGGTGTGTGGGTGTTGGTGTGGGTGGGTGCGGGTCCGAAAAAAGATCATTGTGAACGAAAACACCCACACATACCCACATCCACACCCATACCCACGCTCTCACCCATACCCACGCCCACGCCCTCACCCTCACCCACAACCTACCGCATCTCTCCTCATATTTCTCTCTTCACCTTAATTTTTTACTGAGAATACAATTTTAAGTGATTCCATTCAATCCAACCTACAAGCACGTCATATACAAATGCCTTTGCCGTATAAAGAAAATCTTTTTTCTGTCCTGAAACAAATTGCCAAAAAAATTTAATTGAGAAAACAATCTGTCAAAAGTGTTGACGAATTTTATAAATAACGGTAAGAATAAAAAAGATTAAACACATGTCACCATTGTTAAAAACAAAGATTAAAAAAAAGTAAGCACACAAGAAATTAGCAAGAAAAACGACAATTGAAAAACCAACATAAACAGTCACTAATGGTTTATTCAATCACAAGGTATTGCTTTTTCATAAGACTTTCTAAAACGAGCTGTTGAACGAGGGGCTGATGTTGTTGGTGGTAAAGGTGTTTTCTGAAAAAACCGATTCATTATGTATGGTTGAAAATAGATGGTAAACTCACAAAAGCTGATTATGTTCGAGAATGTATTGTCTTGTCATGTTTCGGAGAAGAATATGCACAAGGTGATTGAAATATAAGTTGACCATCAATAGAATTTTGAAACGAGAAGAATGAAACAATGATAATTAATTTTTCGAAACTCGTACCAAAGGTATTGATGAAGATTTTCGACGTTTAGGCGATTCCATTCCAACGTGATCATTTAAGCAAAAAGTATTATCATGCTTAATACTTGAAAACAGAGAATGTTTGATCGCCTTAGATAGATAGATGTTTGACCATTCCAGTTGAGAGTTCTCATATGATTGATTTAAGATCACGTCGAAATCGGATTCAGCAATACTCTGAGGGTGTGTGTTTGGGTGTGATTGCCTGGGTCTGGATATTTTTTCTCGTTGTTGATACCCACACTCCCATCCACAAACCCACACTCCCATCCACAAACCCACACGCACACCCACCCACACCCATACCCACACCCACACCCACACCCACACCCATACCCACACCCACACCCAAACAGCCTTTTGAGTTTTTGAAAAATCTGACTTCAGATTTGAATCCTTCGACCTCGATTTACTTTCGACAGCCTTTAAAAATGCTGTTATTTTTTCAAAAATTCCTTTCCTTGACTCTAAAAACTGAATTTAAACTTTTGAGAAACTGACTTCAGATTCGGATTCCCCGACCTCGATTCACTTTCATCAACCTTTATAAAATGACTGGTGGATAGTCCATCCTCGGAAACCTCTGATTGGCTGATTCTTTCTAGTGAAAGTAGAAGTGTGTGAAATGATGGTTTTCTGATCTCGCACAAACAAACCCACAAACTATTTTAATTTTCTCCTATGACCCTCCCTTCAGTCGAGGAAATAAAATGTTGTTTAACGATGGCTGTACGCAAAAACCTCTTATAGTTGCATTATAAATTAACTACCTATTCATTAACATAATGTTTAATTCTGTCAACATCATATTTATTATTAACTGATTTCTATTCAGTTTATTTCCTATTTTAAGAAAAGTTTCTTTTTTTTTCTAAAAGAAAATATTTTGTTTTTCTCTGTTTTACTTGTAATATCTTTGTTTTTGTATCAATCAACGAAGAAAATATAATATCATCATTATGTGAGCCAATATTAAATGGTTTTCATGTAACCATATAATCAAGATTTGATTTACGAAGAAGTTCAACAAATACTGAAGACATTTTAATATATGCGTATATATATTAATATGTATGCTTATATAGAAGAACTGTCGATTACAAAAATAATCTTGAGTAAACAGAAATTAAGAGAGGAACTTGAGAAAAATTGTCTCAGAAAGAAGAACTTCAAAAATATCAAATTGCGAGCAGATGAATTTTCAACAGTCTGCAAATGTAGGTATGGATATGTGCGTGCCTATAGACAAGGAAAGACTCAGATATATACATGCACCCTAACTCAATCTTCACGAATGTCTTTCACTTTTTGAAATGGCATTTTATTCAAAATTCTGTATTTCGAAGTTGTTCTCGAAGTTCATCGATGGATAGAATATTCGCTTGAAATATTTCAGCAAATGGTTGAACATTACCAATTGGATTATGGTTTTTCTTAGCATTGTGATCATCAATAATAGCAAAAACTATATATTTAAATGATTTTTTATATTTTGTTTCAATCACTTCATGAAATAGCTGCGCTATAATAGAAAGAAAAATATTAGTAAATAATGTATCCAAATATCACAAAGCCTTACCAATATGTTTAGGAGGATTTTGGAACGCACCACTAAATGAAAAACACAATTTATTTTTATCAGAAATTGTCAGAAGTCTATAATAAGTAAATTAGAACGAACTGATTGAAAGTGTTTACAAAATACCAATTAGAGTTTTCATAATTACTTTTATTTCTCAATACCTGAATGTTATGATAAAAGTACTACAGTTATTATTCCTAGTAAATGATGCGTAGTACTAGATTTGAAATAGTTTAAAATATCAATACACTTGTACTTGTTTGTGATATCGCTAATCATATTCAAACGGGTAGCAGGAATTGGACAGACTGAGATTTTGGGGAGACTGATTTGTTTGGAGTTTAAGTCCTTTCTCTATGAAGCTAGCTGAATTCAACTTCGAACTCGAAACTGCTGATTTTCATCCGTTCGTTACGTCGGCTGACTGCACAAAGTACTGGCATAGCCAACGTAGTGCAATTTCAATTATTGAATCGTTTACGAGATAATATTGTTCAGCATGAAGTCTCCAATGCTGAAAAATATTTTCGAATGATTTATACAGATGTATGAACAATATGTCACTTTGTAATCGTTTTTCATGATTTTGTTATTAGAAAAAAACAAAATTTAAAACTTCGATTCAACATTAAAATTCCATTTCTTAACTGATGTATCATGACTAGACCCCGGCGTGACCGCCGTGACTCACGGAAGTCACGGTCATGGTCACGGTCACGGCCGTGACTGTGCGTGACTTTTTTCAAAGATCGTGACCGTGACCGTGACCGTGACTGAAGCTTGGTCACGGTCAGTCACGGGAACTTCGAAATTTTGGAAACTCCTGAGGGGGAGTAGGTGAGCTTCGCGAAGGTACCCCCTCTGGTCATCGCTTTTTATGAAAAATTGGGAAATCTCTAGTATTTGCGATTTTGGAAACCCTGAGGGGGAGTTCGGACACCTCCACGAAGCTACTTCAAGCCCCCGCGGCCATCACTTTTAATAGTAAACGAAAACTTTGCAATAGCTCTTTTTCGAAAGTTTTTTTAATATTGAGGAACCCGAAAGAAGAGCCGTGACTCACGGTCACGGTGAGCTCAGCCCGTGACCGTGACCGTGACCAACCCCTCGTGACCGTGACCGTGACCAAAAAAGTTGGTCACGCCGGGGTCTAATCATGACGTATAATGAATAATTTTCAACAAGAATGAATGCAATAATGATTCCCAAGAGAAGTTACCTGTTGACTCAAAAAGTAAAAATTAGATAAAAATCGAAAAAAAAAGATTTATTTCTATATGACATTTTTTTCGCCTGTAAGTCACAGAACTTTTCTAAAGATTTAGATATTAATCAAATTAAATTCGAAAAATATTTTTATGCATCTATATATATTAACTCTTTGACAAAACAAACAGTTTCTTAAATGATATACTCAATGAAACAATCCATCATCAATTTTTTTTTTATCAAATGGCTCAAAAATTTTAACTAATCGATTCTGCTTATGTTGTAAATGATAAATTTCGTTTCTTGAATATTATTTTAATGCTTACCATCCAAAAGCTGATAGTATTAAAACATCATGTTGATTTTCCAGTGCAATTTTGAAAATAGCTTCCATTTTCTTTTTTGTATTTTCTATTTGATGTTTATCACTTAATTTCAATTCTTCATTTTCATCTTTTTCTGTTGCTGGGTGCGAATAAGCAGCACAAGCGATGAAAGAAATATATACCGGACCATCCGGAAAAAATGGATATCCATTAGATTCCGAACCACGAAAAACACTTACATTAGGACTATATATACCACCAAACTTTAGGAAAAAAGTAAAACATGTTTTGAAATGAATTTTAAAATCCTTAAACTTACTTCAGGTACATAATAGCGCCAATCTCGTTGACCTTCTAATTCATGATAAGGATCTTCAAGACATTGAAACATATTTGTACGACGATGAAGATTTTCTTCTTGGGCACCAGCGCCTAGATATAACAAATCTTATTCAATATTTATTATCAATATATATATTCAGATATATGTACCGTTTTTCCAACCACCACCAGGATGTCTAGATGAAGCCATATTTAATACAACGGGATTCGAGTTTGGATATATCACTTTGAAACACATGGTAGCATCAAGACAATCTCCATTAACAACAAACACTTGAGAAAGTTGTTCATATGTTTTTTGTTGAAAAACTGTATCATATTCGTAATCATTACCATATTGTCGGGTATTTTCAGCAGCATATGTCAATTTATTTTCGTTCAAATCTATTTTCGTACCATCAGGAAGTCGAAAGAATCTAAATAAATTTTAAGTAAGAGTATTGCAAAGAAAAGAAGAATTTTTAATTGTTTTGTTTGTACCGATTGTATGTAGCATTGATTGTTTGCATTTGTACAACTTTACGCATTAAACGTCGTGTATTTGGACAAGTTTTTGTTGAGTTCCATACAGTTGCAAAGTGTTCGGGATTGTGGATATAATTAAGAGCAACATCACGTGCATTGTCATCATTTTTCAAGCATCCAAATTGTTCGCTTGAAACAACAGTGTCTTTTGGATCTTGAAGTGACCATGGAATTTGTATAGCAAATGGTGCACCAAGTGAAGATTTTTTTTCACCTCTTCGTTGGTTATTATGATCGTCTGCACGTGCCATTATAAAAGCTGAAGAGAAACTAGGTAAATGACGACTTTAAAAATGAGAGACTACTTAAAAATACCTGTTATTTCATAATTTACATAATAATTGCGAATGCTTTTGATTACACATGTAATTAGCAAACATGACGAATACTACATGCTAAATATTGATAGATCATCAGAATTTCCTATTTAACTATTTACTACATTTTATAAAAACATCTCGATCGAATTTTTATTTTTTCTCATTCATCTGTTAGTTGTGAATAATGACTCACCTTTTAAAATCTGTTTTCGATTCAAGCTAATTTACTGCAACAACATGTAATGATAGAGGGCGTACATTGATTTTAGGAATATAGGGTCGATTTCATTTCGAGAAATAAAACATGCTGATTACATCGTACTGAAGAAATAAGGATTTTTTGGTCCATAGAGATGTTAAGCAACTTTCATTAGATTGATTTACATACGAAAGCAAAAACAACGATCATTATAAAAGCAGTATTAAAACTTAAATGATTTAACTTTCATTAAGATTTTTTGTTTGAATTAATCATTATACTGCAATTTTTGCAAAAAATGTTTATGTAAACAGAAAAATTTGGAAACTACTAATGTAAAAAATTATACATCTGATTTACACATATATCATATAAATCATATTTTAAATATAGATAGAAAATGATTCTCTTATAACATCAAAATATTTTTGAATAATCATATACTATAGATTGATTTTTCAATGATGTTTATATAACTGTATATCCGATCAACAATGAACATATTACTTCTGTACATAAACATAGTAATTATGTCTACTTACGAGGGAAGATCCCCAACTGCATAATCGCGTTTGAGTTCGGGCCCTGTGTATAAGGTAAATCCCAGTGAGATATGAAAAACCCCAAAAGGATAACGGCCCTTAGGTCTTCTGTCCAGAGTTATACGGATTTTACTGGAATTTCAGTTTATGATATGGTATTTACTAACAAATCGAATAACGATATTTCGGGCTGAGATTTTGTCCATAGACAGGTCTAATTGTGGGTAGGATGCCCTGAAAATTTCAGCTCAAAGGAATATTTTCTTCCCGAGATATTAAAGTTCAAAAAACAGAAGATTCTAGCATCTTTCGTGAGATATGAGTGATTTTTGGGACTTTAATATCTCGGGAAGGAAACATTCTTTTGAGCTGAAATTTTCAGGGTATTCTACTCAAAACTAGACCTGTCTATAGACAAAATCTCAACCCGAAATATCGTTATTCGATTTGTTGGTGAATACCATATCATAGACTGAAATTTCAGTAAAATCCGTATAACTCTGGACAGAAGACCTAAGGGCCGTTATCCTTTTGGGGTTTTTCATATCTCACTGGGATTTACCTTATACACAGGGCCCGAACTCAAACGCGATTATGCAGTTGGGGACCTTCCCTCGTTAGTGCATACGCTTTCATTGCAATGTATGAACTGCAGAGACAATTGTCAAATAATAGAACTATTTTATCCATTTCAGATCGCTACATTTGCTGCAATAATCTTCTTTAAAATATTTAGTACATAACTTGTAAGGAAAGAGTTTCTGAAGTTGTTGGCGCACTTATAGAGTGGTCTGATGTTGAAGTAAAAACCAAGCTCAAAACCTCACAACCCCATACAATTCGTAGCTTTTTGACGTTTTTAGAGTTCTGAGGATTCTTTGAACTCTGTAGTACTTTTATGATAACTGTTCATTTTTATTAAATTTTGAGTTTCAAAATCAGCTAGAGTTCAGAACTCATGAAATCTGAATAGGTCTCTTCGAATCTGTGCGACACTAAGGTGAGTATTCGATTAAAGATACATGTATTTGTTATTTGCTTTGAGTCTTAACCTTGACTAGAGAGTATATTTTCAAAAAATGTTGCTGGCAGACAATGCGCTATTGTATAACAAACAACTGTAGATTGAATGATCAACAATACGATGAAGTGTCGAAAGTTATTTTAGCAACGAAAGATACAAGAGTAACAGTGTGCCTTTCTTTTTTCATTTGCGCAAAGATAAAGTACAACAAAATAAATAGTAAGAATGACACATCGACTTCGCTACTAAGAAAAGACAGTATAAATTTTTTTTTTTCTGCTGCTCTAACAACATTCATTTGACGAATGTCTAATTTTTCAGAGTTTCACTCCTAAGGACTGTTCAGATATGTTAAAACGAAGCCAAATATCTTGCTGATTATGTACGGTTTGTTATCAATCATTATTTACAAGCAGTATTTCACTCTTGAATGAATTTCATAGACTCGGCTAAGATCCTTGTGACTCTTAATTGACAGCAAGAAACATCGATTCTCAGCAACAAATTTTTCGATTGTTTTATTAAAGATAATTTAAATATTACTTGTTTATGTAGTACAATGCATAGACGAAATTCACCATTTCACTCTGACGATGCATTAACGGATAAATAACAAAATCTAACAGCAAGAAGAAAACAACTGATGCCGTTGCAAAAGGCAAACACTGCTTTCTACTTCGATCCTGAAGCGAAAAACGCTTTCAGATTGACTTTTCATCACCTCGATAATGTGCAAGAACAAAAAAAAACAAATATATTTGTGCAGAGAATACTATGAGCAGTTGATGTCATTAGAAAAGGTCTGATAGGCTTAATCAGTCAATGTTGAAATAGAAAACATCGAAGAATCGCATGTGTATGGGACAAACATTAAATATAGTTTAAAGATGGACACAAAAATGACGTAACGTATAGTTCCAACATAAATGCGTTCTAAGATAAGTTATGTTGATGGGTTACATGTGATGATCTATTCAAATACACGTACACTCCGTTTGTATTTTACAAATAAACAAGAAACAAGATTGACATATGGATAACGTATGTATTCAAGATGCAAATTCAGTGCAGAAGATTATAAATGGAGATTTCAAGAGCACAGATGCTTTCACCAAAGGAATCATTAGATAGTTTCGACAGTTAATCTTGTTCAATATTGTTATATTCTAGGATATGTTTTTATGAAAATCTAGTTTATGTATGAATTTTATAACAGACACATCCACATAGAAAGAATACCAATTTATATCAGATGTTGAGCAAAAGATGAAGTGTATACTATGAGTTAATCTATTATAAAATATCTTTATAATATGAGTATTCTGCTGTTAAAGTTTAAAATACATGTACTGTATGGTATGGATGTGACAAATCGTATTCAACACCATTCTTCGTAACGATGTTTGAGAATGTGTAAAACATACAAACATATGTATGTCTACATCGATCATCTTTTTTCTTCTTGTTTTATTATGCTGTTTTGACCTTATCTTTGTTCTTTTTCTATTTTTTTTTATGCCATTCTAGCCCTATCTTTGTTTGTGTCGCATGCATTCATATTTATTCTGGGAATAAAATAGGAACAAATAAGTCATTCCGTCACACGTGGCGATCACACCAGACGATACATATATTTGCAGTTATCAATCATCTTTTTCTCTTCTTTTCTATGCCATGTTGATCTTATCTTTATTGTTTTTCTCTTCTGTTATATGATGTGAGCCCTATCCTTGCTTGCTTTGTGTATTCATATTCATTTTTGCACTACAATAGGAGCGATTAAGTCGCTTCGTCACAATGAGTACTAGGATGATATCAGATTATGGTATGTACTATGCTAGACAATTTCAGCATTAAAACATCTTCGAAGTTATACGAATTGAACATAAGTGATTAATTATCCATAAATAAGAATATGATGTAGCGATTAATTCTGCAAAGTAGAATTTATAACAAATGATAGGCCTTTGATATAGAGAACGGATTAGTTGTAAATACAGATAGGCATGATTAGTATTCGACGATATAACTACACTCGAAGAAAATCTGCTTAATCAACAATATGATGTTCATAATCCGATTGGAAAGGAGTTAGACATCAGTGCGTATAGTACACGAAAAAACCAAAATGGTACGATACAGAATTTGCAATGGATTTCGTGCATTGATACGAAATTCCTTAAAAATGTTTTCTACGTTCTTGATAAGTCTTTTTTGGAGTCTAGTAGATAGTGAAAACAAAACTTAAGAAATGTTTTGTGTTGGTTACAAATGTTCGAAAGCTGGTTGTTAGGTGTAAGCACAAAAATACTTGTGTTTGTGGAAGACCGCAAAAGATAAGCTATTCATTGATTGAATTAGATAACAAAGTCAGTTACAGATCTTGATTCAAGAATGTTGGATACGACGGACTCTAGGCTAAAGGTAAGACTGACAGCGAGACTTGGAGTTCTCACTGTCACTTAACCCTTTAGTCTGACATTTGTAGCGTACTTTTGTGAACCCTGTTATACAATTTGCGCTTTCTTTTTTTTCAAGACTTGCATGTTTAGTTAACTATTCAAGGACAGTGAGAGAAAAATATTTTGTTGTTGATCAATTTAGATGCATATAAAAACGAAAATTTTGTTCTTTTTCTCATTCTCAATATTTAATTCATCACCAAAAATAACAATGGATTCTTAAAATGTCGATGCAAAAAGATTCAAGCATACGTAATAAATTTTAGTAAAATTGATGGTCTTTAGTACGATCTTGATCAATTCCTTTTTTGTTTTCTCATCTTTAGATGAGTAGATATTTTATGTTACGCTTTACTTGGATGAAATGCGTATTTCTGATTAGGACACATGAACTGTTAGTTTACCTGTGCCTAGTCGATCCGATTGAACTACAACTCTATTTCGAGGTACTATTGAATAATTGAATTTTATTTTTTGTATGTCTTTTGAAAAAATATCTCATTGGATAGAATGGATGAACATCTGTTGGAAAAGTATCCTTGTTTACTATATGATTCATAATTAAGCATTTATTGTATACGATACTAAATTTATAGTGTACTAACAATTAACGATAGGTTCCTCATATAGTTTTAAATTCTATCATTGTTATTTTTTGTAGATAGATTGTGCAAATATTCAATTATGCTCAATCCAGTGTTCACTAACGCAGCAGGTATGGATAAATCCATACTTCGCAAATATTTAACTCTGCCACAAGCTGACGGTAAAACTATGGTTACCTATGTGTGGATTGATGGGACTGGAGAAAACATGCGAGGTATAGTACATGTTTTTTTGATAAATTCACAGATGAGACTCTTTCGTCTGACTATAGCCAAAACACGCACGTTTGACAAGGAGCCCAAGTCATCGAACGATATTTCATGGTGGAATTTTGATGGCTCATCGACTGGTCAAGCCGAAGGATCGAATTCAGAAGTATATTTGAAACCAGTGGCATTGTTTAACGACCCATTTACACTCGCACCAAATAAGCTTGTTCTTTGCGAAACATACAATTTTGATAAGAAACCAAGTTGTAAGAACTGTTTGGATTCAATATAGATGTTCACAATTCTTATCGATGAATTTGTAGTGACTAATAATCGAGTTGATTGTCTCGCTGCTATGGAGGCTATCAAGGATCAACATCCATTATTTGGTCTTGAGCAGGAATATACATTGATGGATCGAGATGGATGGCCATTCGGATGGCCTAAAGGAGGATATCCTCAACCGCAAGGTTTACTTGATTCTTCAAAAAAAAACTTAACCGTGTTAAGCAATACATTTTGATAATATTTAGGTCCATACTATTGTGGCATTGGAGCATGTTTGGCATTAGGCCGCGATTTAGTTGACGCGCATTACAAAGCATGTCTCTATGCTGGAGTGAATATTCGAGGTACAAATGCTGAAGTTATGCCAGCCCAATGGGAATATCAAGTGGGTCCATGTGAAGGAATTGATGCTGGTGATCAACTTTGGATGTCACGCTATTTACTGTTACGAATAGCCGAAGAATTTGGCATTCAAGTTAGCTTCCATCCAAAACCGATTGCTGGTGATTGGAATGGAGCTGGATGTCACACAAATTTTTCTACATTGGCTATGCGCAATCCCAATGGTATCGAGTAAGTCATCTAATTGATACAATCCAAAGACGTAAGTCATCTATTTTTGTATTCAATTTCTAGAGAAATCAAAGCTGCCATCGAAAAACTTTCATTACGACATAATACCCATATCAAAGTTTACGGCAAAGATAATGAACGTCGATTGACAGGAAAACATGAGACCGCCAGTGTATGTTTTCTTCATTGTGTTATTCCCTTTCGTAGACTAGAGAACTATTAAGTAGTTATCTTATTGATAACAAAGTGACAGAGAATTATGAGTTTTGAGTTACAATGAAAACAGTTCTATAGCTCATAAAATTCTTTTCTTTCCATCTAGATCCATGAATTTAGTTATGGTGTGGCGAGTCGAGGCTCATCCATTCGAATTCCTCGCCAATGTGACGAAGAACGATGTGGTTACTTCGAAGATCGTCGACCAGCTTCTAATTGTGACCCTTATTGTGTAACAAGTCTTCTTGTACGCACAGTTTGTCTTGGCGAAAAAGATGCAGATCAAGCTTAGATTGTATTCAATTGAATAAACTCTTTTTGATTATCTTTGCATATATCAGCTTGTCTTCAACAGTAGTTTAAATTAGCTTTTTTTTGTAGATGAACAAATCGTTTAGAACAATAAATTAGAATTTTTTTGCCTCCTATTGATGTGATAACAAGCCTAAATATATTTTACACCTGACCACACCTCTATTTAAGATCTGAGATTGAATCAGAACTTGCGTTTTATATGACGACGACAAATGATTTGTGTTCGAAGTAGGCTAGATGAAAATATATCACATATCGATCTCTAGAATGACTCTACTCGAAATCAACAAGATCAATTTATTTGAGAACTCATAAATCACGCTCAATATACACCATAAGGAAATAAAATCATTATTTTAATCGATGGTAGATCTTTTTAAATGTAAACTTTATATAGAATATAATCCATTGTTTTGACCTATTTAAACGAAGTCAAGTCGTATGATTGAGGAAAACAATGTATTCCAATGTACATAAGTGGTCGATAGCTTTTTCTATCCAAGATCTCAAAGTGAATCGACAGTTTAGCAAGTTTTTGAGATATTGATGTCAATGCTGTTGAGAATGCAAGATACTTATGACAATCAACACTTGGAGCTCGGCATTCGAGACGATCTGTTAGATGTTTTCCAATCACACAGAAAACAACTGTAGAATCGTCGCTATTTCACATTCAATGTATCAATATTCATATTGCGATCACGAATTCTTAATAACTTTTGGTTGTTGACACATAGAATAGAATTACATCGATCGTGTATTTTAGTCAAGGAGGAAACAGTTTTTGTATTAGAAGTCCATGGGACTATTTTAAAGTACGTTAATTGTACTTTAATCAGCTTTAGGTTACTTCAATCTACTTTAAAGTTTCAGAATATAAGCCAATCGTACATTCTAAATATTGTGATAACAAGTCGTTTTTCTTCTACTAATCAATCATATGACATAAAAAAAAACTGGCTATTCACCGATCAAAGTTAACCGTCGGTCAAGATGAGCTAATCAATTGTAATAGAACAGTCCAAGCAAAGACTTCTTCAATTCTTTTCGGAAGGAAATCTTGTGAAAACAGAAAAATGTGATTCGAAACCATTGGATGTTATTGAATGAGGAAAAAACGAACTTGTTTTCGGAACAAACTAAGACATCAATCTATGTCAACTAAGATAATCAACGCTAAAACAAGAAATGGCTCTCAAGAAGTAGCGGTGAACCGAGCATAGAATTTTCAGTACAGTGATTAGAGAAAATTTCGAATATAAAAAAAGATGTAATCAAAAGATGAAAAACAAGTTTTTCAAAAAAAAATTAATAAATTTCTCTATTATTATGTAAAAGTATTATTTCAGAAAGAAGAAATATGCAGTTGGACTCATGGTTATATGATATTCGAGAATTTATCTCTTTCTAAATCAATATATCGAATTCTTGATCATATGCAGTTGTAAGGGCATTATTTGGAAATAATTCAAAATCTTCGACCTCGTAAAAACAAAAAATTTATGATTAGTGCATTGCCATATATGTTAGTCTCGTAGAATGCAAATCGTGAATATAATTTTAGTCAAATATATACCATACAATCAATTTCATTATACGTATTTGAAGATGTGGATGTGAATCTAGATAATGAAGACCTGAACCCACCAACACGATTGCACTTGTAAATCACTTGATGACCTAGCAGTAAATCAAGAATTTTTAACGCACTATCAACAAACATACATGAGACAGAGCAATGAAGAATCTTAATGCAAATATCTTCTTCTCTTCATTAATTCTTTAAATGAAAAGGAATGTTTTTTTTTTTTTGTTTTACCCAGCTCTAGTTTCCTTAGTGTATATGCAAAAAGCCATGATGGCATTGAAACATATCAGCACAGAATATTGTTTATCGTGGTGCTTCTGAAGAATTAAGCCACATGTTGCCCTTCACCTTCTCCAATCTAATAGCAACTAAGGTAGACTTTTGCGAGTCAATTTGTGAATAATGCCAATGATAAAGAGAAAGAGATAAATGAAAAATTTTTCTTTTTTTTGGTACGGAATACATCCTACTCTTACGATAGAGATAATGAAAGCTATATATAAAAATAGCAATTATGGATACTGGTGTCGACTAATTGAAAGAAATTAGCGAACTTTTCTATCCCACCTACTCTAATATAAACTCGCTTATGAAAACATCTGACATTGAGAGAAGCTTTCGACTGTAGATACAAGTTTTGATTTAGCTGACTTTATTGAAGATTATCACCACATTTTTTAAATGATTATTACCTTAACAAAAACAAATATGAATATCGTCAAAAATACAAGACAGTTCTGATGAATATTTTTGACATAGAAAAATAATTGAAAAAAAAAAGATATTCTATGTATGTATTTTTTCATCGAACTATTCACATGTTTTATAGCAACCGATGCAATGAATGGATCATTTTTGAGTGATGGATGTGAAAATGATGACAAAATCGTAATTGACAGGAAGTTTTTTTTTACGTTTTATGTCTTGTTTAGATATGTGATTATCGAATGATTGACTTAAATGAACAAGCATCGATTGTAATCAACTAGTATTCTTCTTAAATGAAATTGGATTAAATATTGTTAATAAAATGGAAATATTTTTGAGGTTTTGCAACTTTTTGCTAAAATCTCTTTTTCTTAGACTAATGTGAAAGAAAAAAGGATTGAAATAATGGCTTACTCCTATAAATAATCTGACTATTTTCAATTTTCATTTGTTAATAATTGAGTGTTTGATTTGTTTTTCTAATCGACATATATTTAAAAGCTATTATAAAATAACAATAGTAATTCTTTTATTGTTATCTATTAATTGTATATGATAACATATGTATATAACATAGCTCCTAAGAAATTTGTAATCAAAACAAAATGTTTGATAATTGATATTTATGAATTTCTATATGTTTCATAGAATACATATTCATTGAAATGAAGCTGAATGTAATGCTAATTTTAAAAAAAGAAAAGATTGATTTGTCCTAATAATTTACTTCAGATTGTCTATTGAAAACTATTTAATGTAGAATATTTTCTATTCGTTTATATATGATAATATATATCAATCAAAATAATATTAGAATATTAACTCATAATATTCCAAGAATTGGACGTCTTTTTTTTTGTTGTTGATACTATGATCCAAGATAAACATGATCTTTACATGGCTGACTTAAGAAATTATTAAGTTATACTTTATCTTTTGACATACATAATCACAAAATGTAATGAAACAATATAGTTATAAATGAAATTTCTAGTAATCCTGTAAATCAAAAAAAAGAAAAGCTTATTTGAGTTGTATTATACATATGAATGGACAATTATAGTTATTATATTACTATTGAATTGACGTTTACTATTTTAAAGTAATATGTCTGTCATTGATGATTAATAAGAATTAACATGATTAAAGTAACTCATACAAATATCTTAGTTATTTGAAATAAGACTAGAAAAAAAAAGTCTCAAATTTTAGTCAAATAAAGATCGATGGATAAAGTATATCATTAAATTCGCTTGACTGTTGCTTCTATTCAGCTTTTCGATAGTTATATGAGAACTTGTATTACTAGTTAAACATATATCTCTTACAATATATGATTATGATTGATACTTTAGGAGCTAAATACTAAAAAAATTTTATGATTTTTTTTCTCGATTTATTATGAAAAACACAAGGAAAATAAAATATTTTGAAAATTAAATTAACGAGAATTTTTGTTTTAATCAATAAAATTGAAATATTCATGAAACTTTTTCTTTTCTTTTTTTATCTATTTCATCATTATCATATTACTTTCTTTTTACATTAATGTTTTTGAATTTCTGAGATATTTTCGTTTATCTTGAGTTCTTGATATGCATCTAACATACATTAGCATTACTAATCTATTTGATAATCAAAATATACCTAGATATGTAAATATAATCAAGTCTTAGACAGTATTTTATAATTAGTCATAGATCTTGTGATATTTAATAAGTATGTTCTAGCAATTAGATCAATGCAATGGATATCCATAACAATAATTTACTAATCTTTTTTTTCTAGGTCAACCAAATCAAGATATCTATAAAAAGAATCTTTGTTATGAAGCCTCTGTATATAATCATACATATATATATTGTAGAATATGATTAATTGTCTACTAATCACAGTAGTTTGAATTGATGTTTTATCAAAAAGAAGACAAAGTTTGCCTGGAAGCTTTTGTAATAATAGTATTGGTGGTATAATACGATAATTTTCTTTTTTTTGTTATGTAGCGTTTTTACCATTCGTTGTTGCCTCTCATTATATCATATAGTATGCTATTTATCCCTCTTCTCTTGCTTTTCTTCGTCTTGTTTTATGTATTATTATTTGCGAGTTTGCTATTTTCCTTTCGTTTATAATGTGTGTACATGTATAGATAGATCGAATAGCTTATAGACACATACATATATATATATATCGAGAGAGAGAGAGAGCAAGAAGACAAGCAAAACAAGAAGGATTTTCAGAAACCTATCAACATCCATTTACCAATATTCAACAAGCAATTTTTCGGTTAAAATTCATAAAGTTAAAAAAGAGAAAACAAAACAAAAAGACAGAAAAGGTATAATATTGTGTTCGGATATCGAAATAAACTGGCTAAAAAATATTTGATCCATTCATGGGAGACAATACATCGAAGACCATAACAACACATGAACACAGTGTCTACCAGTCAACAGCCGACAAGTATTACTGACTGGGTAAGTTGTAACAAAAAAAAAAAAACCAAAAGTTTTTTTTTTTTATGTATTTTGAATAAAAGTTTTGTTTTTATTGATAGAAATAAAAAACAAGGAGATTTTTGTCATATTATGCGTTGTTAGTACTTTGTCTATTAGTTGCTTCAGTATTGTCATTGTAAAGAATAGATAGTAAGATAACTGCTGTTGTTTTTTCTTCTTCATGATGTCAGATAAATCATGAAATCGTGACAAGCAGTCTTTTCTTATAAAAATAACAATTCTATCTATGTAAATATCTTAATACAATAATTTTTTTTTTTCTAATGAATTTTGTTTATTTATTTTTTCTTTGATGAGATAATGAAATGAATAGTTTGCTATTTCATACATTTAATTAATAGATTATTGTTGTTGTTCGGGTTGGATGAAATTAGGTTTTTTTTTTCTTTTTGTCTTATGCTCTTTTAAAAATGTCATCGAGTAAATGACACAAATGATAATAACAATATACAGTTGCTTGATTGTCTCGACGTCTGTTTTTCTTATTGTTTTAGTGACAGTTGTAATAGTTCTTTTTTTTTTCTTTCTTAAGTCATTTTTTTTGTTCGTTGATAAATCACTGTCAATATTTTCTCATATTTCGTTTCTTCATGAGTCAATACAATATGAATTATTGTTAAATGACTACTTATGATGATAAATATATCTATATATATATCTATATGCGTAAAACATTATCCACCAACAATTACAATAGAGAAAAATTCGTCTTATACTGATAAATTTTTGCATTCTAATTTAGGAATGATATAGAATAAATCTAATTAATCGTTTAACATTCTTTATATAGAAAGAATGTGAAAAGATTATTCAGTATAAAACTTTCGTGAACTATGTACTTTTTCCGAAAGACAAATATCATATAATATATTTTTTCAATTTTTTTTTCTTTTATTAAATTTTCTTCAAGCATTTTATTTTTCCTTTGTATCTAATAAAAGATAGGTTATTATTGTAATGTATTGATGCACGGCACCTGTTGCCGGCATCATATACATTGTTAATAGTTGTAAGATGACAGTAAATTGACACCCATTTTACTTTCGGTTTCTAATTTTGCTTTTTGTGGTGATTTTTTTTTTCTTCTTTGGTTTGAAATATGTGACACAAATATTTTAGTAAGAAAAAGAAAAAAAAAGGAAATATTGACATTTGTCAAAAGATTGACGTATGGAAAAAAACATGAAAAAAGAACCAAAGAACCAAACAATATCTTACCTATATCCTCCTCCATTATTAACAATTCGAAATGAAGAATATCAACAACATTCTTGTGATGTTAATAATCAAATATCAGATAAAACTAATTTTCAATGTTTATCTAATCAAAAATTTATTTCAAATGAAATGACAACCAATGATTCTTCTCAAATATCAACATTAACTAAATTTTGTTATAAAAAAATCTGTACAAAATGTATTCCCGAAAGTATTCATAATAATCAGGATACAAATCAACAGATTAATATTGATCTACTCTATACATATGATCCATTTCAAGCTGGGGTAGGATATACAATGAATAGTTTTATATTAAAAAAAAAATCTCAATTGACAAATTCTTAGTCTATAGTAATAAGAAAAGCTTTTCAACTGATCCATATCATTTTCAATCAGATTTTGAGGATATTATTCTAATGAAGATTTTAGATTGATGAAATTTCTTTCGAAAATAATCATCATTTTTGCGGATTTTTTTTCTTCACCTAAGACAAGTATCGAACAAGAGAATTTCAATTTGAAATATTGTTGATATATAGTTCTCATAATGATTAGAATTTTAAAAAATTTTTCTTTTGAAGATAACAATTCTTAAAAATTTGTTTGATAATTTATTTGAGTGTTTCTATGGACAACAAAAACTAAATAATAAATTAATATTTCAGTTTGAAATGCTTTTGTTCGATGTTTTTCTATATAGTTTATGTTAGCTGAAAAACATCAGTAAAATGATCATAATCTCCGAAGGAAATCCCATCGGTACAAAACATCTTAGAAGTTTTTTTTTTCGAATAATGCCTTCAACATATGGAAAAAATATCATTGAAAACGACATGGATCAGTTGGGATTCTTCCTTTATAATTAGTTATTTTTTTGTTTGTTAATGTAATCTACTATTCAATCCCCTTGATATGTCTTAAAATTATTTCATAAGACCTTGTCTACGATAACAACAGTTCTCTTTTTTTTTTTTTTTCATTTGTTTGAATGACGTCGATACAATGATGTAATGATATATTTTTGTCTCCATATATATATATATATATATTTATTAGTCTATATTCCATCCATAGACAAGGATAAGTTTTATCATCATGATGGAGGTTTTTTCTCTGGTTTTATTCATTGAATACGATGACAAGTGTTTCTTTTTTTTTTCTTGTGTTATTGTCGTCAATATCTTATCTTTGGGTGTGTCGATCTTGTCAACATTGATTTGTATCAAGTGGTGAAAAAAGAATAATGTATTTTCACATTGCTGTATCATATCAGAGGTTTACTTTTATAAGATCTATTGTTAGGATAAGATGCAATCATATCTTATTAGTAGAGATAGTTTTCTTGTTTATGATCTTAAAAGGGTAATTTAGAAAAACATGAATTTATTTTATTATTTATTTATTTATTTATTTTTTAGCTTGAAAATTTTACAGACGAACAAATTCAAGGTAAGACATGAAGATATTATAATGAATTTTGTTTTTTTTTTTTTTATATATATTATTCTAGAATTCCGACAAGCTTTTCTTCTTTACGATAAAGATTCAGACGGTGCTATTAGTCCTAAAGTACTCGGTAATGTAATGAGAACACTCGGACAAAATCCTACTGAAGATGAACTTAAAGGATTAATTAATGAATTTGATTGTGAAGGTTTGTTTATTTCTTCATGTTTTTTTATTAGAATTTAATTTGATTTTCGTTCCTAGGCAAAGGATTAATCGATTTTGATGAATTTCTCCAAATGATGGCTAAACGAGCTAATGAATATAGTGAAGAAGATGAATTAAGAGAAGCTTTTCGTGTATTTGATAAAAATGGACATGGCTTTATTAAAGTAGCTGAATTAAGGTAATAGAATTATTTCAATTTATAAAATTAAATCTTACTAATTTGTTTTTTTAGACATATAATGACCAATTTAGGTGAACAGTTTTCCGATAATGAAGTCGATGAAATTTTGCGTGAAATCGACACAAGTGGTAATGGAATTATTCGATATGATGGTGATATATTCAATTAAAAAAAAAAGATTTAAGTTATTTTATTTTTTACTTTGATAGATGTTGTCAAGATGGTTCTTGGTAAATAACATAAACATTATTTGGTGCGCACATCTGTGATATGTACGTATGCTACTGAATCTGTTCTATGCTCATGTATTCTCATTCTCATACCTCAAATAAAAGAAAAAACACATGTTATAATTTAACCGATTTTTTTGTTGTCTATTACTCAATTTTTATTTTTTTTTGCTTTGCAAATAGATCATTTATTTCAAAGAAATTTTTTTTGTTTTTGTTTTATTACATGTGCTTATAAAGTTAATCTCGAAAAAATTTGTCATCCTTTGATTTCTTTTCATTTGAACAAGTATGCAACTTTGTGATTATGAGAAATTTAAATATAATCATTTTGTTATCAAATTTATCTTTATCACGATTATTGAAATAACAGATGAAACAAATAAAAGAATAGAAAAGATTTATAAAAATTCACTTATATTATCAAAAATTATTAAATTATTTCGAACAACTAGAAATAGAAAGAATTAACAATCAGAAGAATTTTATAAATTGTTTGATGAATGTTTATTATTTTCAATCAATAAATTTGAAAACTTAATAAATATATCCTTGATTCAATTATCATGAGTCATATTTTCCAATGAATGTATCCTTTCAACAAATTCTAATACCATATCACAAGGCGAAATATTTGTTTATAAATAATTGAAATCAACACTAGGATATTTATCTATACAATGTTCTTGAATACATAAATGTATTATATTTTGTAATTTTGAAATAAATAGAGATCTAGATGCTAATTTATGAAACTAATAATGTTTTATATCAATTACTTTATTTTCATCAATCTAAACGTCAATTTAATTTAATAGAGTTCAATCGTTAATAGTACAATATGAAATACTACATTTCATCAATTGAATAAGATGATAGATATAAAAATTATTACGATTCATGGCCATAAGAGTATTCAATTATTAAGAGATGTTAATGCATGCACTATGATATGCTAACCTTTTAATTATATGACCCGTCACAGTTGGATGTGTTCTAACGTACTAGCCACTTGTACCGGTGACATAATAAAGAACAAAAAAGTGTCAAGTAGCGATCAATGTTTTCGCAGTCTCAGACAATCGACACTATGCTATGGTGCATTGATTGATGACAAGTGATGATAGATTGAATTACTTAAAACAACATAAGATATAGAGACGAATATTGTCCTTAATGGATTTATATACTCGAATATTTAATAGGTAGTGATGTAGAAGTCATTATTATTATTACATATATTGTCGAACACATGAGTAGCACCTCTCAATTAACTGAAATATAAAATCAATGAAGATTACATATGTTTAGAATGTTCTTTAAAGTTCTAGTCGGAAAAAATGTTTTTTTTTCTTTGTTGACTATCAATTATACAAGAATGAGTTGTTCAATATGTGATATTGTTTGTCGAACATTTTGAATCAATAGTATTGTAAAGAATAAATATGAAAAAAAAAGAGATTTTTATTTATATCAAAATTATCATCGATTTTTTTATTAAGACAAATTATGTAATGTTTAATATTTTATATTCGGATAGAATAGCATTTTCAATAGAAAATCGAATAAATATTTCATTTTCAATATGTTTGATATTAACATTTATTAAAGAATTAAAACAATTGTTTACATGATCCAATATATGATTTATATCTATTCCATTGAGATATCTGAAATATTTCTCAGTATACTTCACTCGGTAATAATTCACAAGTGGCCATATTTCCTTGTTTATTAAAAATATGGAGAAACAAAGCACAAGTTTTTTTTTCTTCTACATAGCAAAATTATATGTGTGCCGATAATCTCTCTATGGTAAATACAAAGACTCATACAGTCAACACTGTATTAAAATATGAAAATAAATGTAATATCTTCTCAATTTCAAGTGATCAAACATTTTATCTATTGTTTTTTTTTCGAACAAAAACTATTTATTAGTCTTATCCTTGAAATGTTTCACGAGTAAAAAAGAAAATTATCTCTGATAGAATAGACTTTTAGTAAATAGAAGTCTATCCATTTGCCTTTAACTTGATTTTCTCAAGACACGTTTTCTGTCAGTTATTTAACAGCATGATATTAGACGAAATTTTTTTTTTGTCGAAGAACAGATCATCAAGAGTATTTGATTTGATACTATAATCTCGATCGTCTTTTCAAGAAATGTTAAAAAACTACATTCATATCTAGAATTCTGTCGTTTCATCTATGATGTGTTTATTAGATATTGATGATGTACACAATGATAGCTTTAATTTTTAATGCTCGATTATATCGTAGTTACACACAATTGTCATGAAAATGCATAAGAATAAATACAAAAACAAGTCGTCATACAATTAACAACAGGGAAGTTTTTTTCTTATCTATTAGATATCAAAGGACATGGAAATGACATTGATGGAGAAATATATATTTTATGCATCGTATTTTTCTTAGATAACAATATATTGGACGTAGATCTTCAGGAAAAAAAAGGACTTTGACCTGGAAAATTTAGCATTTAGTTATTTCGATGCGGATCAATAAGACGAAAGATTTGTTTTTTTGTTTTGATATTGTAAGCAAATATCTCGGATAATATCTTTGATACGCCCTGAAGATAAACCATACAAATCTTGCCATCAAAAATATAAAATTACCTAGAATTTTTCTGATATTATCTTTTATTTTGCTAATCAAAAACTATGTTAATATGAAACTTGTCTTCATGACTTTTTTGTTTTTTATGGAAAAAGAAAAAAATAAAATATAAATAAAAATTTATTTTAACATATCAATATAATGAGTAATTTTCTTGATATTAATGTAATTTGAAGTTATTCTATTAAATATCGTGATTTTTTTATAAAAAAAAAAAAAGATACGGTGCAACAGGTACATACAAATAAAGATAAATTATTACTTGAATTATTAATAAAATACTAAGATACAGATTATGATACAAAATGATTTCGATGAATATCATTTTGTTTTGTGTTTATTCATATAACAAAAAAAAAAGAATATCAATGAAAAATATTGCAAAATATTTAGATTCATAAACACGACTACAAACATGATGTGATGGAATAACTCCAAGAAAAAAACTTATATAGACTTAAATATGTTAGAAAACTGATGATAGAATAGATAGATTAATATGAATATGAGATTATGAAATACTTAGTGGTTCATAAACAGTTTAGAATCTCGAAACTCCTGAAGAGAAAACCTAGATAAAACACTGCCAGTGCACTTAATACAGTAGTCAAGTTGATATGAAAAATATTTATTATTATATAAGGGATAAGAAGAAATTCATATGAATATCATCTCAAGGTCTACTTCAAAACAAATCTGATTATTGCTGAATTATCATATAAATATGTCGAATATTAATCAAATGATTATGTTTTTTTCCTCATAAATCATAATCGAGTTTGATCAACATAACGAACAAAAAAAGGCTTTCATTTTGTTGAATCTGCATGCCGTATGAAATTTATTTGATGCTGTAAATAGAGTTACAATCATAACTGTTTTCTGTGACTGTTTATCGTATATTTTTTTAAGAATGGTATCAAAGTTCAAGATTAATTTGAACTGCTGTCTATATCAATACTAAGAATTTGTTACAGATTCAACTGTTGAATTTATTGTGTCAGTAGAAATCATGATAGTCGAAGATGGAATGACAGTTATCTCAAGGTTCAGAATCGAAATTAATGATGTTAATTGTTGAGTGATTGTTGCTGTAAGCTGACTTATTGGGAATGTTATCGGCGTTCGACGGCGATATCTGAATCTTTCTCAAGTTTCATTTTCATTATTCCAAGGACGTCCGGATCTCCGAAATTTTTCAATTTTAGATTGATACCTACTGGGGTTAATATTGATATCGTTCAGACATAGTAAATTCATGTGAAATTTGAGTCTTCTTTTTATCCACATCGATCCTTACAGTAAAAATATATTTCATTAGTCTACTTCGATACTTAATAAAAACTTTCTGAATACGATTCAGTTTAGTATCAATAGACATGTACTTATGTTGAAAAACTGAAGATCGGTCGATTCATCTTCTTGTACATTACCATCTTTTTTTTAGTTTCAACAGGACTTAGAAAATTTGTCATTTCTCATAAATGTCAACTTGATACCACTTTTTAAACTGATCAGAAAAGCAAACATCGAACAACAGTTTAGAATAAATACTATTGAATCGTTATTTAACAAGCATATATATCCTGAAATTGTTGATGTAGGTTTTTCTGATAGTTGACTGAATGAGACAGTTTGGAATGAAGTTAAAGAAAAATCGAATAGTGAATAAATGGAACATAGCTATCTAAGCAAAATGCGAGCAAATTATGGAAAAGCTATTAAGTCAACTGAAACAAGTGATAGATTACAATTTCGATTTGTAAATCGGTTTTTATTCAATATCTCTATTTAGACGACAAAAAAAATCCTCACAAATAATTCAAAAACCTTCTTTGAACTTTTATGTTACTTATATCTGTGTGACTATAAGAGATAGAAACTTCAAAAACCAGTGTACAGTGGATCTAGGTGTTGAGAATATATTCTATAAATATCAGTCTATTCTATGGGAAAAAAAATCGAAGAAATGAATATTACTCGAAAGGGATCAATAGTTGTTAGACACCCTTTATATCATTTAAGTGAATTAATAATAATGTCTATCATAGAATATTATCGAAATAAATTCTCTTCGACTTTGTATGAAATATATTATATTAGTTATCAAGCTTTATAAATATGTAAGAATATAATGTTTTGTTTTCCAATGTCTAACCTAAAGACAGATTCATATTAGGAAAAAATATACAAAAAAAAAACATATCATACTTGGTGAAGAAAAAGATCAAAAACAATAATGAGATTAATATTAAAATATATGTTTTTTTTTTTTGTAAGGTTATGTCAGAAGTGATTAAATTAATTTTGTCAATGAAGTAATGTATTTCTAGTTTATCATAATCGATGGCTATTATATTTGGCTTAAATCAAGTTAATTTATTCTGAAAAATGCTTATAAACAACGTGAACTGTATCAACTTTTTTATAATGATTCTTATAGATTTTTTTTCTAATCTTAAAATCTATGTGTATCATTATAAACTGTTGAAGAATAATTCATATGTGTTTCCAATCAATTCTTCGAACAATTTGTGTTGTTAAGATGAATTCGATACTGCACAGCATGTAAATAATCGATAAACCCTAATGATTAGTTTACCTCCTGTAGGACTTTAACTACTTGTCATTCAAATTCCTACTCACTTGTACGATGATCGAAAAGAGAAAAACAAAAACTATTTACATTTACTTGTCAAACTGTTCTGTATAAATCAAAATATTATTCTTACTGTCTTTGAATACTTTGTCATCATTTGAAAGAAGACAATTAATAAAATATGACAACACAAATTCAACCTTTTCGTCAATATCCTCGTTATAAAGTTAGCGTATTATCACCTTCGAATGAAAAGATATCATCAAATAATGCTACAGCTACACCATCAGATGTTAATTTGATGTCTTCATCTTCGTAAGTAATCACTATTGTAATTTTTATAATCGATTTTGACTATTATATTAAAGAAAGCCAAAGAAATTTCTATGGCCAACTCTTTTCTGGATTGTTTTGGGCACATTAATATTTCTTGCCTTAGTTATTGCTGTTGTAGTACCTATTGCTGTTTTAGCCAATAAAGGTAGGAATTAATCATTGAAATAAAAAAAAAAAAAACCATTAAATTTGTTAATCATTCAAACTTGTTTTCTTTTTTCTTTCATTTTCTAGGTGATGCAACGAATACAAGTATGTATAAATTATCTATAGACAAGAACTTGAAATATTTACTATTTAAATATTCTTCTGTAATTTAACAGCGGTTTCTACAATATGTCCGACAACAGCAATTACGACTACAGTAACTGCTAGTTCACTTCCTGCTCAATGTTCTAATTATACATCAATTACAGATGACACACGAAGTCCGGACTATACAGTATTGAGTACTTGTGATGATACAATATTTTCAACGACACCAATGTGGGTTCGTTTTACTGGATCAAGTGGAACTCTCATAGCCAGTTGTCCTATTGATACAGATCGATGTGGAGCAGCAGCTCCTGGTTGGTATAGTGGAGTTTATCCATCTTGGGCTGGTTCTGTTACATCTGGTTTCGTCTGTTATAATTATAATGGAGATTTATGTTATTGGACAAGTTGGATTTTAGTAACTAATTGTAATGGATTTTATGTATATTATTTGTATGCACCACCCACATGTATTTTAAGATACTGCACTATATAAATATATCGTCTCATTTCTGTATAAACAGAAAGAAATTCTGTTAGAAAAAAAAATCATTAAAAAAAAGACATCTTAGACAATCAGATAATCAATTTACGAGAGAATGAATGTTAAACCATACTATAGTTTTTGATGATCTTAGTGCAACAGACAGAAATCCAACAGTTGTCTATCTATACTATATGAAATGAAATACATAACGATTATTTATTTACTTATATAAACTAATTTTTCATGAAGCAATGCTCGTTGCGACTAGAGGTGTAAGCCGATAGGCTGATCGGCGACGGTGCCAGTTTTTTAAAATTTTTTTAAAATGCTCGGCGGCGCAGATTTGATATTCCAAGATTGCACAGCGGCGGCGGCTCGAAAATTGTAAAATTTCGAATACCATCGGCGGCGCGGCGGCTGTAATTAAAGTGTCTCAGCGGCGGCGGCTTGAAGTTTAAAAAGTACTACGTTATCATAAATATATTAGTCTATAACCTTGTCTACACGAGGAGGATAATGCAGTATTCAATTCGTATTAAATCAATTCGTGTCTACATTTGTCAGTTAATGCATCAATCAGAATCCTTGACTTTGACATGAATCGTAGTTTTTGTTCACTTCAATCATAGAGGAATCGCTCATTGAAAACTGCGTCAGTCTCATTGGAAAATCCAATCAGACTTTGATTGGTGCGTCAACTTTAATGTGGTTCTGAATAGTGCAATAAATTTAATGCACTTTTTAAAAAGTGTTTTAAATGTTTATTAACTGTTTAACCAATCATGTTTCTTAATTTACCATCAAAATTTTTAGTGTAGACAAGGCCTATTTCAATATCTCGGCCTTTTTATCTTCAAACACATATGTGGAAAAACTTTAATTCACATCTAGACATAATAAAAAAAAAAGTCTAAAATTAAAAATAAATATAATTGCTAGGGTAAATAATAAATGAAAAATCACCACCACGATTGTTAATAATTAAAGGCACTTAGCGTATTCAAGTTTGTTGTTTTTATTTTGTTTTTGTTAATCAAAATTTAAAATGCTCGTCTCTTCTTGTATTTATTAATATATCTAATATAAAGACATAAACAACTGAAATGATAACTTAGAATTTTCAACCAACACAGAATTAAGGGTTTGTTTACAATTTAGAACCCCAAGCACCTGACTGGTCAAAGAACCAGCACGAAAGTGAAGTTGAAGACGAGGAAGATAATGAAGAAGAGATTTATTGGGATTCTAAGATGTCAAAGTACCAAATTAAAGAAAATATAAATAAAACGTTTATTTATGCTAGTTGCCAGAGGCGGCGGCGGCTCGAAAATTTTAAAATTTTGAATACCATCGACGACGCGGCGGCTGCAATTAAAGTGTCTCAGCGGCGACGGCTTAAAAATTTCCAAAATTGCTACTGTCACGGCGGCGGCGGCTTAAAATTTTTCGAGTCTGTCGGCGGCGACGGCGGCTCAGCCGCACGGCTTACACCTCTAATTGCGACACAAAAATGTTATCAAATGACACAACTAATTGCTTCAATATCGATCGTTATAGATTTGAAAAAATTTTAACGGATGATATAGATTAGTTTTTTTATTGAGTTACCTTCTATCACTTGATTTTGATACAGCAATATCGTCTATGATCAGTGCAATAGTTGAAGAAACTTTAGCAAGAATTCAACGAACATTGACATGTTCAGTTGATGATACAGTAACCTATAATAATTATTGTACTTCATGTGTGCTTGCGTCATCACTGTATGCTAGGTATACTTGGTTCTCTCAATGTTTACTTAACATTCGTCCATTCAGCAAATTTTTTGTTAAATGAACATTTCAACGGAAAGTATTACTTGACACTAATGAAGCTTGTGTTTGTGCTATAAATAATTTATAAGGTTCTGTTAATGTTCAAACAGTCTAAAATGAAACTTTATAGAATAATATATTCGAACAAAAGTGCACCTTTATACGTTAAAAAATAACCTTTATTTTTAATCTATTTAAGAAATGTTCTAATATTTACTTTAAATAACGAATGTAAAACAATTGTTGTATGATGTTCTTCGCAATATGCCGATATTAGCAGACACCTGAATCTATGAACAAAAAAAGACATGAAAATCCCAAAACTATCTGAACAAATTACTAAATGTCAATGGTCAAAACCCGAAACGGTGCGTGCCCATGTCCTGCTTAAACTGAAACTTTGCTAAGAAAGAAGTTTTATGATTATTAGAACGTCCTAAAAGTTTCAGCCAAAACGGAAGCTTTATCCTTAAGATATTCGATGGCTAAAACACGATCACGTGACAAAGACAAGTCAGGAAGTTGAATCCTTTTTGAAAATTCAGTATCTCAAGAAGAAACCATCTGTTTTGGCTAAAATTTTCGGAACATTCTAATGGCTATGAGACCTCTTTATTGGCAAAGTTTTAGGTCAAAATACCATTGTACAATTTTTCCTTGAGTACCTTGTCTCCATTCCGAAATTTAGTAAGAATGTTGATTCATAACTATGCGTCTTCTCATTAGGCTGAAATATCCCATGAAATAATTGAAAGATAAAAGTATCAAAGTTATAAAATAACCGACCGCATCACCGGATTGGAATCCTATTGAAAATCTATGGAATCATATCAACGAAGAATTGAGAAAAATGAAACCAATTAATATTATACAATTGCATCAAAGGATTAAAAAAAAGTATATGATGTAGTGTTACATGTCTGCAGCATCAGAAATTAGCTGATTCAATGCTACGTCGTGTACAACAACATATCAAAAGTTCACGGTGGAATATTTTGTTACATGAGAGAAAGCACAATTTTGTGAAAAGATAAAATTTTCTAGGAAAAATAAAACTTAAAGGTAGCTCTGTAATTTTGGTCAGTACTGTAGAATACTAATATAGAAAATATTATCGAACATATTGCAAATGCTGTTTATATTCATTTAAATTGTTTGATCTATCATGTCAAACATCTGCCGAGCCATCGTTCGCTAGGTCTTCAGGTATTAACTTCCATTTAGAAGAAAACAATTTAGGTCAATGATTTCGATGTTTGGATATGTGAATTTTCGGCAGCTTTGCACTAGAAAACTCGAGAAAATGGTATGAATTTAGAAACAATCATTTGACGATTGGTTTCTGTAGTCATGTTTTTCTAGTTACGCTGGCAACTAATCATATAAGGGTAGAATCGACCACTGACTTTGATCAATAGGTTTGTGCTTTCATGCTTCTACCAATCTTTCGAGTTTTCCAACTAGAAACAACCCGTATTTTTTCACCTGAGAACATGAATTGAATAATTGAATCATATGAACTATTTGAGTTTAGTATGTGCCTATAGTCCAGGCTGAAAACAGTAAACTGTTTAGGGCTTTGTCAGCGATGAGGAAAGGATGAATTATGCGCTCATTCACTTTCAAGAAAACATCGTTTTTTTTCCAGTAGTTTTTATTTTCACAATTTTGTTTCCTTTACTAACATTGTTGTGCTCACACTGGCTTGTAACCGTTGCATCACTTCACTCATCAGACAGATGAGTTGCAATGACTATATCCCGCCTATCTCCACTTTTTTCTTCCGTATCTTTCTTTGTCATATTCCTGGTGTATAAGGCTTATGTCTACATCAGCAAGCACTGGGATGAAGCGCTAGTAGCAACGTTGATAGTTGCAATCAAATCGATGCATAGGATTTGTTGAAATAGAAGTCGACAGAAATTAATAGACTGACATCTACGCAGATTAGTAAGTCGTCGCGTATGTCGTAGATTATATCTAGCAGTGTCATCTATGATGAAATATGACTTTACCTTTTTTTAATTGTTTCTGTTCAATATAAATTCTAAAAAAGCCTTTTATAATATAGTTAAATAATTAATATGAAAATGAAAGAGGAGAATGGACATAATTTATTAACCAATTAATTTATATTTGAATCATTCTTTGTTCTATTCTATTATGAATGGTCGGTTCGATGAAATCTCTTTCTTTTATTCTTCTTTTAAAGGATCGAACAAATCGTTGTCTTATATACATTAAATCAAAACCAAATAATTAATGGCTGGGATTTCCGCAGCACGTCTTACTGAAGAACGAAAAGCATGGCGACGAGACCATCCATTTGGTTTTATTGCTGTAAATTTTATTTCTCTTTTTTTGCTTCTCTCAAAAAACAAAAAAAAAAGATTTATTTATTTTTTTTTTATTCTTAGAGACCATCAAAAAATGCTGATGGTACATTAAATTTACTCAATTGGGAATGTGGTATTCCAGGTATTCATGAAGAAAATTTCTCTCGATAATTTTAACGACTTTTTGTTTGTTTTTTTTAGGAAAAACAGGAACATCTTGGGACGGTGGTTTATTTAAATTACGTAAGTTGAACTAAAGAAACATTAACAAAATAAAAAATTCTTTTTTTTTTGTATTTAGGTATGATTTTTAAAGATGATTATCCATCAACACCACCCAAATGTAAATTTGAACCACCTTTATTTCATCCAAATATATATCCAGTAAGTCAATTTAATAAAGAAAAGATTTTTTGTTTTCTTCATATTTATTGATAAAATAGAGCGGAACAGTATGTTTATCATTACTTGATGAAGAAAAAGATTGGCGTCCAGCTATAACAATAAAACAAATATTACTTGGTATACAAGAATTGTTGAATGAACCAAATCCAAAAGATCCAGCACAAGCTGAAGCTTATGCTATTTATATGCAAGACAAAGTTGAGTATGAAAAAAGTAAGAAAAACATATTCAATTTTTAATATAAAAAAAAGAACAAATGTTACCTGAATTTTATTTTATTTTAGGAATTCGAGAACAAGCAGCACGTTTTCGTGCAACGGATATTTAATAGAAGAAAAGAAAATGTTTCCTGTGTACAAACGGACAGACAAATGCATGATTAGTACAAGTCTTCTTCGGTTTCTTTTCTTGTTCTTCTGGTTTTTTTTCCTGTCATGTTGTTCGAGTGTATTAA